TCCCTATCCCACTCGCAGAACAACGGGGAGGAGGAAGCGGAGGAGGAGGAGGAGGAGGAGGAGGAGGAGGAGGAGGAAGACTACGAGGAGTAAGGAGAGAGATGGGGGAGGAGGGGGAGGAGGAGGAGGAGGAGGAGGAGGAGGAGGAGGAGGAGGAGGAGGAGGTGGAGGACGAGGAGGAGGAGGAGACGGAGGAGCAGGAGGAGTAGGAAGAGGAGAGGAGGAAGAGAATAGGGAAAGTAGCAGGAGGATTGCTGACGAGTAGGCGTACAGTCAGCCCGAAGTATAAGATCGGGGACGGTTCGGGGATGGTACATCAATGTTTTTCGTGTTTGTTGAAGGTTTTTGTGCATCCTGGAGGAGGGTACACTCGCATGTTCTTCGGTTTGTTCGGCGGAGGGCATAGGAGGAGGAGAAGGAGGCGGATGAGGAGGAAGGGCAGCAAACGAGCAGGGAGGAGGAGGTGGAGGAGGAGGAGGAGGAGGAGGAGGAGGCCGAGAGGGTGGAGTATGAGGGAGGAGGAGGACGACGATGAGGGGGGAGGCGGATCGTGGGACTCGGAGTGTTCGCCAGGATGAGAATGAGAAGGAGGGAAGGAGGGAGGAGCGAGAGGGCAGAGGAGCAGGGAGGGAGAGACCAGGAGAAGAACGACGGAGTATGGAGAGAGGAGGGGAGGAGGAGGAGGAGGAGGAGGAGGAGGAGGAGGAGGAGGAGGAGGAGGAGGGGACGAGGAGGAGGAGGAGGGGACGAGGAGACGAGGAGACGGGGGGTCGAGGAGACGAGGAGACGAGGAAACGAGGGGACGAGGAGTCGAGGAGACGAGGAGACGAGGAGATGCGGAGGGAGGACTCCTTCCCCTCGAGGGGGGTGGGAGGGCTGGCGCGCAGCCCCCTCGCCGAGGCCCCCCGCTGCCGCGCCGAGATGGGCTGCTGCGCGTCCTCCTCGGGCGCGCGCTCGCCGCCTTGCCGCTCTCACCGCTCTTCGGGAAGGGGGGGGCAGGGCGTCGGGCCTCGAAGTCGGGGGTGGACAGAACCCCCAACAGTGACACGTCGATTAGAATTGTCCGTTTTCGGCTCTCGGGAGGGCGCCGCGGCCATTATTTTCCAGGCTTGCGCCCGCCAGGTTTGAGCCTCAGGTCATTTTCACTAAACCACGTTTTACTAAAGAGAGGTCTGTCCATCCCCGACGAAGATCGGGGATCCAGGGTCGAGCATCGGAGGATCGAGCCTCGAGGAACGAACACCGGAGGACTGAGCCTCGGGCCGAGTCCAAGGGACACCGAGTCATTGCGTTTCTTTGCAGTGACAGAAGTCACATGTTTTTGTGCATGTCGTGCAAGTTTTATAGCAGTGGAGGTCAAGATATCGGCCTGGGCCGCAAATGCGGGCACCCGACGGAAGCTGGTTTGAAGAATATTCGCAAGCTCCGTAAAGGCCAACACCCTGATAAGAAGGGTGTGTCTGTTGACATTGACGAATTCATCCCACTGTTATAATTACATGTTAATACAACATGTTTCATCAGTTCTCCTCTGGCTATTGTTGCAGTTCATTGAGCAGGGGAATGTGCGTCGCTGCCAAGAAAGGATGGAGGATCGAGGTTCGAGGGCCGTGCATCCGAGGGTCGAGGATCGGGCTTGGAAGGGCATGGATCGAGCCTCGAGGGATCGAGGATCGAGCTTCGATTATCGAGGATCGAGTCTCGGGGGATCGAGGATCGAGCTTCTCGAAGGATGGCCAGTTGGGTCAACCATAGTTGGCCTTCGGGGGGGGGGAGCTCGTCGCTTCGGCTGGGCGCAGCTAAGAAAACTTATGTTTTCTTGGCCCCCCGGACAGTCCGGGGACCGATTTTGAGATGAACCCACAAACTCAGGGACAGTGCTTGCACTGTCGTTGCGTTTGTGGGCTTGCACGAATGCCGCTCCCACGGCTGCCCTGCTCCCCTGCCCTCTCCTCGTCCTCGGGACGGGGGGAGGGTCGGGGTGCGGGGCCGTGGGTGGGAGAGGTCTAGTGGTGCTGCTCTGCTTGTGCGGTTGCCGCCTCTGCGCTCCTGCTTTCTCTTGTCCGCGGCTGCCCAGGAGCGGCCGTTGGCTTTGTTGGCCATTGCTGTGCATCTGGCGGGGGCGTGTCCCGCTGCGCTGTGCCACCGCACCGTGGTGCGAGTGGCGTTGGGACGGCCTCGCGGTGCCCGTCCGCACACGCGGCCTTGCGCGCTGTGCGTTTGCTTCTCTGGGCTTGGGTCCCCGCGAGGGCTGTGGCGCGCACGCTGCCCATGCGTGGCCGCGTGACGCGTTTTGTCCCACCCGCCCGCGCCCTGGGTGTTCTTCGCGCCCCTGGCGTCTCGGGCGTCGCTGCGACGCGCGTCGGGGCGACGCTCGGGGCGCCGCGCCCCATGTCTGGGGAGCGGCGTTCCCCTGGGCCGCGGAGCGGGCCTCGGTATTTTTCTGCCCTCCCACGGCGCGTGGGGCTGGCATTTGTGTTGCAGTTGGCTCACTTCGTCCTACTCCGAGCTTCGAGGATCGAACATCGGGGGATCGAGGGTGGAGCTTCGAGGTCCAGACATAATGCTTCATATTCGAAATGGCCAGGTCCCGCTTCAATAAGCAGCGCCGTCTTCGAGGGAGGATCGATCCCTTAGAATCGATCATCGAGGTTCGGACTTCTTGCTTCGCATTCGATTAGGTCGGATTCGGTGTCAACAAAAAGCGCGTTCCTCGATGGGGGATCGGGCCTAGAGGATCGAACCTTGATGTTCGGGCTCCGGGCTTCGAACACACATTCGGTCGGATCCAGTATCGATCACAGTCGCATTCCTCCAGGGAAGATTGTACCTCGAGGATCGAGGGTCGAACCTCGAGGTTCGAACGTCTGGTTTCGGCTTCGATTCGGTCGGAGCCGATTTCGAAAGGAAGCGCATTCTCTCAGGGCCCGACCCTGTCTGAGCCCCTCCACTCCCCCCCTCCCCCAGGGGAGGATGGAACCTCCAGTCAGTGAAGAGTCATCAGCCTGGGCGTAGAAGTTTTCGGAGGCCTGGCGCCGAGCCGGGACATCCGCAGGAAGCCCGCGCGGACCTGCCGAGATGCCTGGCCATGCACGGCAGGCTCCCGCCGCGTTGACTCGACGGCGGCTCCACGGCGGGCGTGCGAGGTTGAACGCCGCCAGTGGCCCAGAACCGGCCAGAATTCAAGAGGGGAAAAATCACACAGGCACAATGAGTCGACGACTCCCAGGATACTATATGGGAAACTCTGGGAAGTGGGGGGGAAGACGAACATCCAGAAAATAGTCGAACATATGGAGAATCCTGTTATTTGTGTGTATTTATGTGTGGTTCCTTGGGCCCCTTCAAAATTGGAATTTTCTGACGGTCGAAGAGCCGCCGATCAGACAAGGTTGAACGATCCGCCCTCCATCAGAGACCAGCGCGGACGTCATCGCGACGCGATCTAGCAGCAGCACCCAAAATCAGGGTAGCTTCTCGCCCGCAGGTCGCATGGAAGGGACCCTCACTTGCTGGTCCTGGTTGCTGGTCCTGCATCGAACTTTGGTTTTTGAGCTTCGAGGATCGAGGATTGAGCTGCGAGTTTCAAGGATCGAGGGTCTTGTTGATCGAGGGTCGAGGGGGGGATCATGCTCGGGTCGGGGATCGAGGGTCGAGGTCGAGGAAGGCCTCCTTGTCGGGATCGACGCTCGCGGTTGGAACTACGATGATCGAGGATCGAACTCCGTCGTCCTTGCGTCGTTTGCGTCGTCGGCGTCGCTGTGGACGTCGTCAGCATCGCCGACGCCGACCGCCCAGACGCGGACAGCCGACGTCAGTGGAGACCGATGCCACGAAACACCAAGATTGCCTCTAAGGTGCCTCCGTATTCATTTTGGCTCAAGCGCCTGGCCCACCCAGCTGGTCCGCCTCCGGCCATGTCGCCGCCGTCCACGCCCAACCGCCCTGGTGGCGTCCTCGCGCAGCGGTTCCAGCGGGTGCTGGCGGCGGAGCTGGCGGGGCTGCAGGACAGACTGCTGGCGGAGCTAGCGCAGGCTGGGCCGCACGAGGAGTACGATGCTAGTCCCGTGTGCGAGGCGGCCAGCCGGCAGTCATCGCTGCGGCCAAGCGACGAGGGCACGGGCGTGGAAAATTGGCGCAGGTTGTTCTCCAAGCTTGTGGACCCGGACGGGGGGGACGTCATGCATACGGCCGGGACGATGATTACGACGAACTTGGCGCAGCGTGAGGCGGGGGGGACCCACGAGGATTTCTACTCTCCGCACCCTGGCTGGTTCGCTCAGCCGGGCCGTGTCGGGATCCAGCGCGGAACGACCATGAGGATGTTCGCCGCCTCTCGCATGGCGTTCGGGGACTACACCGAATCCCTGAACAATAGGCGTATGCACGCGAGCGACACGTGCCTCGGGGGGATGATGATGCACCCCGACAGCCAGAAACGAATGATTTGGTGCGCGATCGGTGCCCTGCTACTGTTCTTTGACATGGTGACGATTCCGCTCGAGGCCGCCGGAATCCTCGAGTTGTTTTCGGTCCCGCTTGTGGTGTTCAGCATCGTGTATTGGACGATGGACGTGTGCCTGCAGCTATTTACAGGCTGTAGCTTCGACCACCACGTTGAGATGCGGCCGTTCATGGCGGCGCAGCACTACGCGAGGACCTGGATGCCGCTTGACCTAGGGGTGCTCTTCCTGGACGTTGGCTTCCTCATCCTGCGCCTTAACGCGAGCACCCGCGTGTTGCGGGTCGTCCGCCTCTTCCGTATAGTCCGCCTCCTCCGTTTCCACAAATGGAGCCTTATCATCAGGATGATCCTGCGCTCTAGCAGCTCAGACGCGCTCGTCCTGACGGCGAAGGTGGGAAAGTTGGTGCTCCTCTACATCGCCTGCGCGTGGTAGGGGATCTCGGAGTCGAGCCACGACGCGGTGCGCTGGGGCGTGGGGGGGAGCTGGGTGGAGGAGCTCGGCGTCACGGGGGCGAGCCCCCTGCGCTGCTACGCCATGGCCTTCCATGGGAGCATCACTCAGTCTACCCCCTCTGCAAGCAACACTGTACCTGTCAACGCTACTGAGCGAGTGTTTGCTTGCGGAGTGGTGATGTTTGGGATGCTGGCTTTCTCGGCCTTCCTCAGCAGCATAACGGCTACAATCAACGAGCTGAAGAACATCAACTCGGGCCAGATGCATCAGCGCCACATGCTGCTCCAGTTTATCAAGCACAAACCGATTTCGACCAAACTTGGTCAGAAGATACTGGCGGCCGTGGACAGGGAGGGCGAGAGGAACAGCCGACTCCTCATCGAGGAGGACATCCCGCTGCTCGCGCAGGTCCCGGAGTCGCTGCGCATCCAGATGCACACGGAGCACTTCATGCCCCTTCTCAGGGCGAACGAACTCTTTTGCACCGTGTTCTTCGCGGACCCGCATTGCTGCCTCCAAGTCTCCCATCAGGCAATGGACGAACACCGCTACGCCGAAGCAGGAGGTGCTCATGGAAGCCGTGCCGGCCTCGTTCGCCTACGTGGTGGCGTTTGGTGTGCTGCAGTACCAGCAGCGCCTGCCGGTCCAGGAAAGCACGCAACCCGTGGTCGCCTCCAGCTACACGAATGTCCAGGACTGGCTGTCCGAGGGTGCACTTTGGATGGATTGGGTTCACCAGGGTTCGCTGGTGGCCTGTTCGGCGAGCGTCCTGGTGAAGGTGAACTGCGACGTACTGCGTAACATTATCGTGCAGGGCGGTGGTCCCATGGTGGTTTGTCTGAGGTGTTGTGCGATATTGTTCGCGCACCACCTGGAAAAGGGAGCGCGCGTGCCGAGCTCGCACCTGAGCGACGTCAGCCTGCCGAGCGAGCACCTGACCGCCATTTCCATGAGGGCGCTGCAGTTCTGCAAGCTGGCCAGCAGGACGAGCTCGGGCAGGTACACGATGGTGAGCAACCAGTCGCTGCCCCAGGGCGCCCCTATGCCGTGGACGGCACCACGTCGCACGGGATGTCCCTGCACGTAGCGGGGAGACAGATGATATCCAAGGCCCTTACGAGTTTGTCGATGTAGCCAGGTGGAGGGCGCTTGCCGGCGCAGACGCTGCTGAGATAATGGTTGGCATGCTATCGTGATCCCCAGATTTGCACCAGTGTTGGTCGTGCATCCAGCCTTTATGGCTACACGTAAGAGTGACCCTGCTCTGGAGTGTCTTTTGGCGCCGCCGTGTGGTGGCCCTGGGACACCCTTCTCCTGAACTGTCCTTGATGTCTGTGCCCTGGTCTGGACATGCGCCTCCAGCCGGCGGCACTTCTTCAGCCGATATGTCGTGCAGACACGGCGTTGTTGATTGATTTACTTTTGGGGGGCGCGGGGGGCAAACGCAAGCGCGCTGGCCTCATTGCCGCATCGCATTCAACGATCGGCAAGCCGCGGACGCAAGGTCTTGCTTGCCCTGGGTCACTGTTACCCTGCTATCGCGACGTCCTACCTCGAGCAACAACCAACACACACACACACACACACACTCACCAGCCTTTGGCTGTTCTTTTTCTCAACTGCACCAGACCAGTGTAGGTCGCCGTTGCAGCGAGCACTTTGTCTCGAATGCGCCTCTTTTGAAGCACCGGCGCTCCCTGCCTTCTGCAAACGCCTGTATGGTGATTTGTCCAGCGAAGGTGCGCCATGCAAGTTTATTATTTCCCCGACGATAAGTCAACAGTGTAGTCCGAGCATGGCCCGAGTGTGCGCAGTGGCCCAGGCCCCACAGAAGAGGTGGCGCTGCCATTCCGGCTGGCCAGCCGCGCCCGCCGCCTCCCATGTCTCCCCCGCTGCTACCCTCGCGGATGCCATGGGCAAGCCCGACACCGACGCCCCACCACTGCAGGGGATTTGCAGTGGGGATTTGGGTTCAGTCCGAGCGTGGCCCAGGCGTGTGCAGTGGTCAGAGCACCACAGAAGAGGTGGCTCTGCCACTCCGGCTGACCAGCCTCGCCCGCCGCCTCGCATCTCCCCCTCTTCCTGTGCTGATGCCATGAGACCGCTTTTCCTTGTCCCCTGGCGAAAAAAAAAGATTGCCTCTAGGGTGCCCTGGGTTTCTTGGTATTCGATGGTTTTGCTATGGAAAGCGTGACGTCCCAAATTAAAAATCAATGGACGTCCTGGGGTCTCAGCGTTCCTGTGGAAGGTTTCTTGTGGTAGGGCCCCTACTGCAGGAGGGTCGAACATTAATCTATGTTTGAGGATCGACCTTCGAGGTTCGGGATCTGCCGGTGCTCCTCTCCCTTGCTGGGCCTCTCCCGTGCAGGGGGGGTGCTCTTCGTCTCCGCGGCTGGGTCCGCCTCGACGTTCTTGCCAGAACGCTCCCTTGCAAAGCCAAGGGCTTCGCTTGTGAAGGATGAGGAGGTGGAGGCGGAGGAGGAGGAGGAGGAGGAGCAGGAGGAGGAGGATGAGCAGGAGGAGGAGGAGGAGGAGCAGGAGCAGGAGGAGGAGCAGGAGGAGGAGCAGGAGGAGGAAGAGGAGGAGGAGGAGGAGGAGGAGGAGGAGGAGGAGGAGGAGGAGGAGGAGGAGGAGGAGAGAGGAGGAGTATGCTCTGGATGTCTCTGGTTCTCTGCTGGGCGGGAGATCTCACGCCCGTGCAGAGCCGCAGCCGAGAGTTCTTCGGCAGCCGCCCCTCTGTGCCGGCAGAGCTGGCAGCGCCCTGGGGGGGGGGCTGGGCAGAGGGGTCGGGCCGGACGAAAGGGGGGGATTGGGAAAGGGGGGGTTACGAAATCTGCTGCATGCAGCTGGTTTCGGCCTCACCGGAAAATCAGCTACGTGAGCTGATTCTCAACCCCCCCCTTTGCTATCCCCTCCTTTCGCCCAATTCGAAGGGGGGCTGGGCCACCTCGGGGCCCTGCTCGTGGAGGCCAGAGGGCCGGACCAGCCTGAGGGCCAGACCATCTTCGATCGAAGAGGAGCAAACACCGCAGACATAAAACTCGTGGCGCTCCGTGTGGATTTCCTGGATCCGCGCCGGGCCTCCCCAGGCAGCGCCTCTGGCGCCGCCCCCGGCGCGCTCCGCGCGTCGGTGAGGGGGTCCAGCGCGGATCCAAGAAAGGCGCGCGGAGCGCCAAACGTGCTGTTTATGGCGTTTTTTCTGTTCTCTACTCGAGGCCCATCTTTTGTAGGGGAACAAAAAGTGACGTAAACATAAAAAAACTCGGAGGTCCGCGCGGATTTCCCGGATCGGCGCTGGACCCCCCTCCCTGGCGCGCGGAGCGCGCCAGGGGCGGCGCCGGAGGCGCCGCTGGGGGCCCCAACGCCGATCCGAGAAATCCGCGCGGACCTCCGATTTTTATGTTTATGCCACTTGTTGTTCCCCTGTTTGGGGTTTGGGCCATCTCGGGGGCAGGAAGGGCAGGAGCGGGGCCCTCCTGCTTTTGGAGGCCCGCCTGCCTCGCGGGCGACTTCTCTCCTCTCCTCCCCCCCCTCCCGACTTCTCCTGGTCGGCGAGGAAGGAGACCGCTCAGAAGAGGAGGGGAAGCTTGGGATACCAGGGGAACAGAAAGTGACATAAGCATAAAAACGCGGAGGTCCGCGCGGATTTCTCGGATCGGCGCTGGGGCCCCCTGGCGGCGCCGGAGGCGCCGCCCCTGGCGCGCTCCGCGCGCCAGGGAGGGGGGTCCAGCGCCGATCCGAGAAATCCGCGCGGACCTGCGAGTTTCTTCTATGTTTATGCCACCTGTTGTTCCCCTAGATACGCCCCGAGTGGGCTGTTCGCACGCGCCCCTGTCGACGATTGGCGCACCCCCGGGGTACATCCCAGGGTTCGACCCCGCGAAGCCTGGGACAGGGGTCGACGCATCTCCCGTGGCATCCGCACTCCGGGGCCCACTCCGATCATCGATCTCATCGGTCCAGTCTGATACAGCAGAAGCCCATGCCAAGAGACACCCTGCTTGCCTCCAGGGTGCCCTTGGTTTCGTGGGTTTCGATGGTGTTGCCGCGGAAAGCGTGCACTTCCCACACCAAAAATCAATGGACGCCTTGGGGTCTCAGAGTTGGGCGTTTGGTGGAAGGTTTCTTGTGGTGGAGCTCCTGCTGTAGGTCGTTCCCAGCCAGTCGGCGATCCGATCTCTTGGGCCCCGTGCGCCCCGGCGGTCCGGGAGGCGGCCCGCTGTGCTCGCGCGGCGCCGCCGTGCCTCCTGGCGCCGCCGATGCGGCTCAGCGCTCTGAGAGGGCCGCGGCACCCGAGGCATCTCTGATGTATGTTCAGTGTCGGGCCATCCACCCTGGGCATGAAATCTGGAGATGCGGGCGCATTCATCGAAGGAGGACAGGCGGTAGAAACATAGACTGTCGGCGTTCCGCGAGGGTTTCTTGAAGCGGCGCTGGGCCCTCCTGGCGCGCTCCGCACGCCAGGGAGCGGGCCCAGCGCGGATCCAAGAAGGCCGCGCGGACCGCTAAAAGTTTATGTTCATGCCGTTTTTCCTTCTTCTGATTCAGTCCTGTCCCTCCTCCCTCGCTGCCTCCTTCTGTCCTCTGCCTTCTTCGTTCTGGCCCTGTACGAGCAAGGTGGTGCCCCCTCCCCATCAGTGGGCAAGGCGGGACGGGGCCATGACGAGGATCAATCCGTTCCGGCGCGCGCTGGAACGCTCTCAGAGCGCCCCCGCACGCTCCGAGAAGGCTGCGGCGCCGGAGGCCCCCTCTCCAGAGCCGCCAGACCTCGGAGATTCTCGCCTAGACCTCAGAGATTCTCTCCTCCGCTATCCTCGCCCGAATTTTGTCCTCGTCCCGGCTTCGTCTCCGCACTCTCCGATGCGATCCCACTTCCCGGTTCGATGCTGGCTGATCCTGCCCCTCCCCTCTCGGTTCCCTCCTGCCCTACCTACGGTGTTGCGGCACGGAGCGGAGGAGTGTTTGCCGGTGCCTCCGCATCTCGAGGCGGACGGGGAGTCTTCGGACCAGCAGACTGCTTTTCCTGGGATCCTGCACCTCCCTCCGTGGCAGGTGCTGTCTCCCAGGTTTCCTGGTGGGTCTCTGGAGGCGCTGGCGTGGATGTCCCCCTGTCAGGCGTGCTGTTGCTGGGCAGCCTTGCAGCCTTCCGTGGGCGGGTGGGGGGGGGCGGGGGAGTTTGGCCGCGGGGGGGGCGTGGCCTCGCCACGTGGTGGCGCTTCCCTGGCTGCGCGCTCGCCCCCCCCCCTTCCTCCCCTGCCCCCCCCCTCCTCTCCCTCCTCCTCCTCCTCCCCCCCCCGCTCCTCTCCCTCCTCCTCCTCCTCCTCCGCCTCTTCCGCCTCCTCCTCCTCCTCCTCCTCCTCCGCCTCCTCCTCCTCCTTCTCCTCCGCCTCCTCCGCCTCCTCCTCCTCCTCCTTGCCTGATCCCCCCCCATCTTCCTCGCCTCCTCTCCCTCTCGCTCTCTCTCGCGCCCTCCTCTCCCCCAACCGCGCTTCCCTCCTTCTCTCTCTCTCTCTCTCCTCCCGTGCCCCTGCCCCCGCAGCCGATGAGCCCACCGGCAGCGTGACGGAGGCGAGGGCCGCGACCAAGAAGATGCTGAAGATGGCCACGGAGCGGCTCAGGACTGGCCCCCGCCTCGTCTGCCAGGAGAGAGAGAGAGAGAGAGAGAGAGAATGAGAGAGAGAGAGAGATGAACCGCCCTACCCCCGCCGTAGGGTACCTCGCTAAACGTGGCGGACAGAGCGTGGAGCTCAAAACAAATAGAGAAAGAGAGAGGGAACAAAACAAAAAGATGAACGAATGCTGACGCCACGCAGGGCGTAGCATTACAGTGGGGGGCCCGGGGGCCCAGACGCAGCGAGACAAGTCCAAGGGCCCCCTCCCCTATGCCCTCCCAGATGGGGCCAGAGCAGACGGGGTCGGAGGATCGCGCCGCAGCGTCGATGCATCGGCGATGCGGCTGGATGTGGAGCCCGATCGTCTCCATGCTGGCGTCGCCGACGGATCGCCGATGTCGCCGATGCATCGGCGATGGATCGTCGATGTATCGGCGGTGCGGCGCGACCCTCCGGCCCCAGCTACTCCGACCCC